TTATAATTATACAAACAATAGTTTTAGAATATATTTTCTTGAAACGCCTTGCGATCCGTCAATTAGAAATCTCTCCGGAAATAAAAAAAAGTAATAAAATGTTAATGGTGTAGTTAATGATTTTTTTGTGAAATGATATTTTTCCATACGCCTTGCGATTTGTATGTAGAGTATTTTTGTGGGAAAATTGTATAGTAGACAAAATATTTTTTTGTAATGAAAGGAAACTTCTAGCTACAAAGAACTTTTGTATGAATAGAAATATTTGTATGGAAAATATAATCCAGACAAAAAATAAAATTTGTGGGGAAAAGAGGTATTTAGCTACAAATTTAACTTTGTATGGACGATTTTTGTGGGCTAAGCAAAATTTTCTAGTAGTGACTGTTGCTATAAAGTTTCACCAACACATTTTTCATACCTTAAATGCCCTAACCTTCATTGGCCTTTACAAGTATAAGATTTTATTTATTATTATTTTATTTTATTATTTATTATTGGATATTGGTGTTCTTGTGACGACTATAAAACTACCTTATATATTGGAGGAGTCATACATCGTATATAAAAATTGACCCGGTCCACTTTTCTAATAGTTGATTTGCTATTTAGCTCGGGAGAAAACACAGGAGCAAGTGTGGCCCAAGAAAAGCGAAAAAGATCTACCAAAAATCGTAAAACTTTTGATATATAAGGATCTTTCAGTCCCAAATCAGACCAGAATACACCAGATCAAATTTAATTAGACCAGTTTAGACTTTAACAGATCATACCAGACCAGATCAGACCGAGCTTCAATAGTTATAAAATACACATAAGTCAAACATCACCAGACCAGACCAGAGTACAAGACCAGATTTAAACAGACCCAATCCTACCAGATCAAACCAAATCGTGACAGAAAATTACAATCCAATTAAAAACATCCTAATAACCTAAAAATTATCTAAGTTTTATGGCTATAGTTTAAAAGCCATTATCAGTCGTAAATATTAATATATACTACGAGCATATATATGTTTAGTAGGCATAAGTAATACCTTCTAGCTTTTTTACAATTTACAAAATTTTGAAAAGTTTTTAGTTGTATATTTGCAAAAGTAATTTTTAAGAGTTTTTATCAGAATAAAAAATCTTTTTTAGAAAGAAATCAACGAATACACTGAGTAGCATTTGAGAAAAGTCTGTAGTTTTTTAACATTAATTAGTCAGAACAACTTGTACCTTAAACTTAATTAAATCAAATTGTCAACTTTTTATCAAATAGCTAATAATCTTTTTTTTTTAATCTTTTCTTTTCAAATCGTTTTAATCATTAAAATCTAACAATTATTATAAAGCTTAAAACGTTTGTTTTTTCGGCTAGTTTTTTTTTTTTTTTTTGCAAGGAAAAGATTTTTTCTAGTTATGTCAAACAAATCCTACGGTATAATAATGGTCAAAATGTATATTGGAGTCCTACCTGCGGGTTGTAAAATGGCATTTGGAGCACCTGCGGCCTAATTGGCTAATTCCAATGGAATATTCTTTTTATCGGTTAAAATGTTAGAGTTGAGATTAAACTCCTAAAGAGTTACAAAGCCACAATGGCAACAGAAATGGTTAACCGAAAAGGATAAGGCAATGGAAATTAAAGAGTTACGAGGCCACAAAGGCAACGTTGGATTTGTTTTCAACTTAACGGAAAGAAACGGAAGAAGTGGGTTTTGAAGATCAATCAATTGAACAAACTTTTATTGCTTCTTTGTTACACCAACACTTTTTTCATTCCTAATGCACCCTTACCATCATTGGTGCTTATAGTTTTGTATGTACAAGTCATATAAAATAGGACGGAAGAAAGTGAGGAAGCGTCCAGTCCAGCTGGTCGCCGACTTACTGTCCCTTACGGGTGGTCTTGGGTTCGAAACTCAATGGAGTGAGTTTCAGTTCTGATTACTCCAGACTCCCATCCCCCTCCCCCAGGCGCCACCGGGGAAAAGAAAAAAAGATCGGAAGATTTTTTTTCTATTCTATTTTCTTATTTTTCCGTCCCCAATTAAATTTTATCCTGGATCCGCCACTGAGTCGGAGAAAAGGAAATATAAGAGATCTCAGCTCTTTTAATTTAACACCTCTCCTAAGCTCTTCTAATGGAAACAAGGTTCACACCAGATGTAACACTCAATAAACCGATCTTGATCATTTCATGAGCCATGTATAGATTTCTAGTCAAACGGTATTTCCTTGGGAGCTTGGTGAGGTTAGGACACCGTTGGGAGCACCTGGTGATAGAAAGAATAAAATGGACGGTTTGAAGCCGGTGGTGAGACTGAGATGAGGGGATGGGGAGATGGAAGGGATGGGAAATTGACGGAAATAAAACGGTAGCCGGTAGGTTTACTTCCTTTAGATATAGTACACATGGTAAAACATAATGTACCACCCTTTTAATCTAAATGATTGCACCAACATTTTTTTCATTCCCTAAATGCCCTAACTCTCATTGACTATTATAAGATTTTAAGATAAGATAAGATATAAGATGGAGGTAGTATGTAGCATTGTTTTTGAAGGAATGTGTTATTATATTTGGGTTTATTAAGGGAAATCTTTGTATTTATTTGTAATATTCTCTTGGCTTATTGGGTATAATTTAGACTCCTTGTAAACACCAATAAGCCCAACCTCTTTGTATTTAAATACTCCTCTAATCATGGAATAATACAACACTTGAAAACCCTAAACACTTTGATCTTTAACATGGTATCAGCTTCCCAGGGGTGATCTGCGGCCGCCTCCTCGACCGCACCCATGACAGCCAACGGGGACTCCGACGACACTTCCGGTACCCCGCTCAATATGGCTTCCGGTTCAACCTCTATCTCTATCAATCTACCAAAACTTAATATTCTCTTGGATCGTTCGAATTACATGCTATGGCGTCACACAGTTCGCTCGGCTCTTGAAGCTTTCGAGCTTGATGATTTCCTCTCCTCTAAAGCCATGCCTAATCCATTGGTCAAGCCTACCGATTCCACCAGTTCAACGCCGGTTGCAAATCCAGCGTATCTCGAATGGCGAAAGAAGGACAAATTAATTCTTCTCTGGATCCGTTCCATGTTAACTACACCATTACTTGTTCATGTTGCACGCGCTACATCCACCCATGAAGCGTGGGATATTTTATCACGCATGTTTTATTCTCAAAATCGTGCTCAACTCATGCATCTCAAAACACAACTCCAACAATTTCCAAAAGGTGATTTATCCATCTTGGATTATGTTGAAAAGAAACGGTCCTTTTCTGATGCATTAGCTGAATGTGATTATATTGTTCCTGATGAGGAGTTTGTTGAAAGTATTCTTAATGGCCTTGATGCATCATATTCGGCCTTTCGTTCTGCCTTCAATTTGCATTCGGAACTCATTAGTTCTCATGATCTACTTGGTCTACTGCTGCGTGAGGAAGCCCGCCTGAATTCAGAGAGAACTAGCTCCCTAACTGCCACTGCATTGGCAGCTACCCGATCGGGTGCAGGGGGAACCCGGTCGGGTTTGACAGACAGTAGGGGTGACTTTGTATCCAGTTCACGCCCAATTTGCCAAATCTGTCAAAAACCAGGTCATGAAGCCGTCAATTGTTGGCACAGGGCAAATTTTGACACCTATCCTGAGACCAAGCCACGACAACCTTCTCGTCGTGGACAGCAGCAGCCCCGCCGTGGACAGCCGCGTCGTGGTCCGCAATCTCAAGCTTCCATGTCGGGTTCTGTCTATAACACTCATGCTCCTCCAGCTCTCAATCCTATTCCTTTACCACCAGGCCAGCAAGCTTATCAGGTTCAGAATCCTCCTTCAACTCTACTTGACCCGTGGTGTTTTGATTCTGGCGCAACAAATCATGTCACAGCTGATTTTGGTAATCTCTCTGTTCATTCCAATTACACTGGTAATGAAGGGTTACAAGTTGGTAATGGTATGACTCTGCCCATAACTAGTTTAGGTCATTCTACTTTACAAGCATCACATGCTCCTGTTCATCTTAATAATATTTTATTTGTCCCGGGCATAAAAAAGAACTTACTCAGTGTTTCTCAACTCACCCGTGATAATAATGCTTATATGATATTTTTTCCTACCTGTTGCTTTGTGAAGGATCTCCAAGGACGGACGTTACTCACCGGACGCGTTGAAAATGGACTGTATCACCTTCAAACACCCCATACTACATCTCCCTCTCCTCGCATTTACCTCGGTGAAAAGACGTCTCTCCAAACTTGGCATCACCGTTTTGGACATCCACATGAGTCTGTTTTGCGTCGATTAGTTTCTAGATTTAATTTACCTATTTCTTCAAATAAATTATCTTCAATTTGTGAATCTTGTCAATTAGGGAAAAGTCATCGACTTTCCCTAACTAGTACTCACTCATCTAGTTTGCATCCTTTTGATTTGATTTATTCTGATGTGTGGGGCCCAGCCCCGGTGAATTCCTTTAATGGCAATAAGTATTTTGTTATTTTTGTTGATGATTGCACAAAGTTTGTATGGATTTATTTTTTACATCAAAAGTCACAAGTTCTTTCCACTTTTCAACTTTTTCAGGCCATGATTGCCACCCAATTTAACTCTAAAATTAAACAACTCCAGTCCGACTGGGGTGGAGAATATAGATCACTTTCTGCTTACCTACAAACCCAGGGTATTCTCCATCGTCTTTCTTGCCCTCACACGCAATCCCAAAATGGAGCGGCTGAGCGTCGTCATAGGACGATTGTTGAAAAAGGCTTGGCCTTGCTTGCTCATGCACATATGCCTTCCTCCTTTTGGGAACATGCGTTTCACACTAGTGTTTATTTACACAACCGCACTCTTACACCCATTTTACAAGACAAATCACCCTTTGAATCTTTATATGGCAAACCTCCTGACTACTCCCTTTTAAAGTCTTTTGGTTGTCTTTGTTATCCTCTTTTACGACCCTATAATGCTAACAAACTTGAGTTTAGGTCCTCTCCTTGCATTTTTGTTGGTTATAGCTCCAAACACAAGGGCTATCAATGTTTTCATGTTCCCACTAACCGCATCTATATTGTTAGGCATGTCATGTTTGATGAGACGTCCTTCCCATATCCCTCCCATGCTCACCCTGCTTCCCTTACCCCCCTCTCCTCCACCCAAACCGTATTCCCTCAACCATTACAGCTAGCCTCCACACCTTCTTCTCCTCTGTTTACCCCCTCTAACTCACTGCCTGACCAGCCCGATCGAGTATCTTCATCACCCGTCCGGGTACCTCCCTCGCCTGACCTACACCACTTCCTGGTTCCCTCACCCGATCGGGTATCTCCCTCACCCGACCGGGTAACCGGCCATTCCCAACCAAACAGCACCGCACCAACTACAGATTCCTCTTCAAGCTCCGGTGCAACGGCTCAGTCCTCGGATTCTGCGCAACACTCAGGTATGTCCTCCTCACCCTCTTCTTCCATGATCCCTACTTATTACCGACCTGTTGATACCTCCACCCATCCCATGATCACTCGTTTCAAAACAAACCATCTTAAACCCAAATCTCTCCTCTCCACTAAACATCCACTTTCTATACCCTCGTCTATACCCTTTGAGCCACAGACCTTTCTTCAAGCACCCAAATATCCTGAATGGCAGCATGTGATGCAAGTAGAGTATGATGCTCTAATTAAAAATGGGACTTGGGATCTTGTCTTACCTCCTCGTAACTCTAATATTGTTGGTTGTAAGTGGGTGTACAGGGTAAAGAAGCATGCTGATGGCACTATTGAACGTTATAAAGCACGCCTGGTTGCTAAGGGGTTTAATCAGGAGGAGGGTGTTGACTACTCAGACACCTTCAGTCCGGTTATTAAACCTACCACCATTCGTCTTGTGCTCTCCTTGGCTTTATCCTTTGGGTGGAAATTACGACAGGTTGATATTGCTAATGCTTTTCTTAATGGTGATCTCTCTGAAACTGTTTACATGACACAACCTCCAGGTTTCATAGATCGTGCTCGCCCTACACATGTTTGTCTGTTGCGGAAAGCTCTCTATGGTCTTAAACAGGCCCCTCGTGCTTGGTTTCAAAAACTCCGCCAGTTTCTTCATCACCATCACTTCGTTGCATGCAAATCTGACACTTCATTGTTCATACGCCGTCACAACGGTACCACTCTCTATGTCTTAATTTATGTGGATGACTTAATTATCAGTGGTTCTCATTCTACAGAGATTGATACTTTTGTGACTGCACTTAATGATGCCTTTACACTACGTGACTTGGGAGATCTTCATTATTTTCTGGGCATAGAGCTAAAGCGCTCCACTTCCTCTATTTTTCTGAGTCAACAGAAATACATCACTGAGCTTCTCTTGCGTAGCAAAATGCATGACGCTCGTCCGATTGTATCACCTGCCGAGCCAGGCTCTCGACTCTCAAATTCTGGTGATCCTATGGCTGAGCCTAATCTTTACCGTAGTGTTGTTGGAGCTCTCCAATATGTCACTATCACACGGCCCGAGATATCTTATGTTGTTAACCGTGTGTGTCAGTTCATGCATGCTCCTACAGACATTCATTGGCAAGCAGTCAAGCGAATCCTTCGTTACCTCAAAGGCACCATCTCCACCGGTCTCCACCTACGGCCTTGCACAGATAATCGTCTTGTTGCTTTCTCTGATGCAGGTTGGGCTTCTGATATTGATGATTGTCGCTCACAACATGGCTTTGCTATTTATTATGGTGGTAATCTTATCAGTTGGGCGTCCAAGAAACAGCATGTTGTCGCCAAATCCAGTACCGAGGCTGAATATCGAGCCATTGCATTCACATCCACTGAACTCATTTGGATTCAGCAGCTTTTGCGGGAATTACAGGCTCCACTCAACATCCCACCCATTCTCTTATGTGATAATCTTAGTGCCACCTACATGGTTGCCAATCCTGTGTTTCATCAACGCTCCAAGCACATTAAAATTGACTATCATTTTGTTCGCGAACAAGTTGCGGATGGCTCTCTTATTGTTCGTCATGTTCCTACTCTGGACCAGATTGCTGACATTTTCACCAAAGCTGTTGGAAACTCACGCTTTACTTCTCTTCGTTCCAAGCTCCATGTTGATCAATCTCCATGAGCTTGCCGGGGGTATTAAGGGAAAGTATCTTTGTATTTATTTGTAATATTCTCTTGGCTTATTGGGTATAATTTAGACTCCTTGTAAACACCAATAAGCCCAACCTCTTTGTATTTAAATACTCCTCTAATCATGGAATAATACAACACTTGAAAACCCTAAACACTTTGATCTTTAACAGGGTTAATTAATTAAACAGCCTAATTACAAAGAATAAAGGACTTATTAAGAAAAATACATGTTTTTTTCTTCTAACAAATACGGAGTAAAAAATACAATAACATAGTAGTAAGATTATTATCATCTAAAATTGCCCAATATAGTATGGACGACCGATGGATGTTTCGTATGACGATGAGTAAGCTCTTTGCCTGATCGATTGTCAGCAGATAATCATGCACCTACCAGCACATATGATGTGATGCTAATAAATATAATAGGGCCCGACCGCACCCGATCGAACTTGAAGAATGTATGTAGACGTCAATCTCGAATGATTCATCCACTAATCACCGCATCAATTTAGGGTTAAGGTTTTGCTTGTCTAGCTAGCTAGGTCGCAAGGAGCCAAGGAACTCACTATGTCTCACCTCTATAATGGAATGCCAAGTAAGACACACAAAAACGTACACGATGACTACTCATAATAAGTTCCATCAATATATTGAAAATAAGTAATATTTATACCGCAAGTGGAAATTAAAAGACAGAATAATGTCTACCACCCTCAAATTAAAGGTCATGTACTTTGTATGTATCTAGAGAAAAAATGGAAAGGTAAAAGTATAAAGAGGGAAATACATACATTTAATATATAACAAATGAGATTGAAAATAAATCATAGACGTATTAAATTCACCTACATGTGCAAGCTAGTCTATGGGTAGATGACTCATCCGACATAAAGTGACGTATGACACTCCTAGTGGGTAGTGGACGAGGTGTTTGGACATTGTCCGCAATGCCCCTTTGCCTTGAGTGAGCTTCTTTCAAGACTAAGCCGAAAGGACGTGGCAAGGCGAGGGGGTTGTATGGACCGTTTTCCATCCAAGATAGATGTAGTCAGATTTTGTTGTTTATGACTGCCTTTGTTGGTATGGGCCCTCGTCTGACCGAGGAAACTGGGCAATCGAGGGGTAGACCCAATTGATTCTGGGATGCTTATGTATTGATGAGTATGTGGGTCATGAGTCTGAGTCCGTATACCTTATCAATAATATTACATCACGGACACGGTCTCTACCCTGAAACTGGTCGATGCTTGACATTGGACCGAGATTGGGTGAAGCAGCTCGGTTATGGGACCGGCCCCAAGGATAATTCACGATGACTAGCCGCGACTGTAATTTTTTGGACTTAGACTGGCCAATTTGGTCACAGTTTGCTCAAATTTTTTCAATTTGAAGGATTTAGAACTTTAGAAGTATTTCAAAAGAGATGTAATTCATTTAAAAGCTAAATAGGGTGAGAAGGGGCTGCGTACATAGGTTTAGAATTATATACACAAGTAAAATCGGGACTGGCCGGATCCCATTTTTCTTTTCCCTAAGGAACTACGTACTCTTCTCACTTTCCCTTTTTAGCCGTAATATTCATATCTTCCCATTTTTAAATCTTCTCATCATACCCTCAATAATTTTAAAAATAATACACTATTACAACTATTTTTTTTAGATTTATCCTTCAATCCGTCACACTATTTCATTATCTTCTCATCACACGCTCAATAATTTATACGAAGTATATCCTTTCATTATTCATAATCTCACATTCTCACCCACTCTGGAAGTGGGAAGATATACGAAGTATGTAATACGGAGGGAGTAGTAAAGAAGAGACATGATTTTACAATTAAAAGTAAAGTTATGTGTTTGATATTAAATCAATATGTGAAACGAATATATATTTTCAAATATGCACATTGTAATGAAACGAATGAGAGAGGAAAAAATTGAAAAAAGATTATGAGACGGTCCAGACGGATGAGAAAGAATAATCGTATACTAGCTAGCTTAGCACTAGCATGTTTGTGGATGTAATTATGGCTCTTGTGCCTTAATCCGTCTTAGCTTCCTCATCGCCCGTCTCTGATTAGTGCGTGCTAGCGAAGAACGAAGCAAAGTAGTCAAGATTGCAATATATTTGGTGTTTTTAAATACATACTTCGTATATAACAATAATCCTTTAATTTGCTTGTATTGTAGCTGTAACGTAACCAATTTTGTTGTATTTTAGAATTTAGATGTACTCGGTTTATACGAAAAAGTGCAAGGTAATAATGAATACAATAGAGAAATTGAAAAATAAATGCAATTTTAAGAGTAAAAAAAGCCTTGAAGAGATGGAAATCATGATATAGAGAAGGTTTGAAATGAAGTTTTTTAACATGTCACTGATTCACTCTCTCATAGTGGATCTCCACGAAGTTTTAGCCATGTTTACCTCAGACAGTCAGACTCCCCTCGCTCCCGTCCTCCTGATCCCAGGTAAAACAAGAAGAAGATAATGTTACTGTAATAGTGTTAATCAGTAGAATAGCATAGAAAATGTAATCATGGTAATAAATGAAAATATATTTATAGGCTTCTTCAATTCCATTCTAGTGAAAAAGGTCATACATTCCTATAAGAAGTGAGGATGATCTAAATTTATATATGCATGTGAATTATTTCTTATGGCAGACTGGCAGTGCATATTTAAGTCTTAGATAATGTAATGCTCGATGGTAGTGATAGGAAAATTCAGTTTATTTACTGCGTATACAAATTCAGTTTTTTTTTGACATTATGATGATTCATCAATACGTACATGGTACGCATAAGGGTCAATAAGACACGCGTACGTTTAAGCTCGTGCCAAAGTATTTTTGGCACGGATTTGGCATATCCTTACCAAAATTCGTGCCAAATTCGTGCCAAAATCCCTGTTAATCCCGTGTTTTTTGTAGTGTATATACTACGGATGTTCTTTTAGACTAAAATTTGTTGGTTTAGTCTCATCTATTAATAAATATTTGAATTTTGTGTATTTTATAACTAACTATGAAAGTTTGATATAGTCTACTACGAACTGTTTGAATCTGGTATAGTGTGGTCTGTTTAAGTCAAGTCTGCTTTGATGTGGTCTGGTTTGGGACCAAAACCCATCCGGACCAAAAGAAAACATCCTAATAGCCCATATGTTAGCTTGATTTTCCGGTTATGTGTTTTATAAGTCAACTTTTTAATCAAGCATTCAACTTTAGTTGGTTCCACATACAATGTTTTGCAATTATTAAAATGAGTAACATTGGAGATACCCTTTTGACTGAATTGACTCAAATTATTAATATAGAACATATATTTTAGTTATTTTTCATATAATTTTTATTTTATTAATAATATACTATATTAATAATTGCATTCTTAACTGCGCAGTTATATTCAAAAATTCATTTGAATGCCTTCCAGATTGAAGTTTTAGCTCAAATTTGGTATGAGTGAACTAGACTTAATGAATAAAATGCTCAAAAAATTTCATCAAAAACTTCCACCGGGAACCACCCCAAATGGCGACGGTCGGACAGAGCCTCTTATTTAAGGGTTTATTTGACCTTTTTATGTAAGTTCGAGGGCCTATTGACCCTTTTTCCCTTAAAATTCTAATTACTACGCAAAAGAAAGAAGGAAACCCAAGAGCATTAATGATAAAACTACTTCAATTTACTCCATTAAATATCTATAAAGAACATTTACGAAAGTATACACAGCAGGGTTTTAAATAGTCGTAGCAGCAGCGGTAGCGGTAGCAGTCATCGTGGTAGCGGCCTGTAGCCGACAGGAGCGGTTGCAGCGACGTGAAATATTTTCAATTGTGCATAGCATATATTTAAAATGATGGTACGGAGTAATTTTAATGTTTTACCATGTTTTAATAAAGTAAATTAAAAAACAATTTTACGTTATTATTGAAAAAAAACTAAACAATATAAATATTATAATTTAAATTTAGTTAAATGCACCATAAGGTCCATAAACCAATAAAAGTAAGATAGTGTCCTTATTAAACAGTATATTAAAAAAAATGAATACAACAGTTTACGTTAATCCACTTCCAAATTAATAATAATACATATTTGCGTTCCATTTCCAATTTCATTTGCATAATCCATAATAATATCACTTTCGTTCCAAATTGTTTTGTTAAGTCAACATTTTTTTCATCAACCGATATTAAAGTTAAATCATCCTTATTAATAATTAATTCGGCTATAATGATTATAATTTACATATTTATTAATATTTGCTACCATAATGTATGTCGTGGATAGATGTACATTTCATTTAGAGTTTCACTCCATAATTTACATACTTTTTCACATCATTTACACAACATTTATACATTTACACATCAATCAGTTCGTGACGTACTGCCAGAAATGCCAATAACTGGCTGTAGCGGGCGGCGTAGCGGACGGCGTAGCGGGCGGCGTAGCGGATTTTTCCCGTGAATTGGAAATCACACATCAAAAGCAGACCGTAGCAGTGGCGGCCCCTACCGTGACCGCTATATACTGGGCCGCTATTTCAAACCCTAATACACAGTATAGAGCCTGAAAAAACAAGAAACGAAATGAAGGAAGAAAAAGAGCATAACAGAAGGAAAACAAAGAAAAGGGTGGAAGGAACAACGGCAGATTGGAGAAAATCAGAAAAACATCCGTTTGCCGCCTCGCTGGAAAATATTACACCGACATCGCTAATCGGCGGCAGCCGCACATGGGACTAGCCGGCGGAACCTGGACTCTGCTACGTCACCAAAAAACTTATTAAGAGTGAAGACCAAGAAATTATAAAGAAGAAACCAGGAATTGAAACGGAAGAATTCTTTTACAGCAAAACGAGGGTAATAATATGGAGGACTAGAATGGAGAACAAAGTAAATCAGAAAAAGAAAAGCAAATAGAAAATCAAAAGCACTAACCGGCTGGTAAAGGGTGTCTTCCGGTAATTTGATGAGGTTGGCTGATTTTTTTGAAGTAGAGGTATTTATGTGATACTTTTTGGGTAGAGGGACCTATATGATGGATTAAAAATACAACC